GCAAAAGCCAGGCAGTGCTCCGAGGAGCTGTTAAGAGCAGAAGTGAGGATTCAGCAAAGTGGGATTTATCCACAGTTTTGCCACAGATTTTCTCTTCAAAATCTCTTGAGATTTTGTCTCAAAGTGCTTCGTCTTTAAAATCCTTCCAGTCAAAGTTTTGATGTGTCTCACGTGTTTAGACTGTAAGCTTTTCAGGGACAGGGCTTTTTTATTTGCACAGCAGCTTTTCTATTAAATCCCTGATCTCTAGGGAACGTACCTGTGCAATACACTGTTAAAAGAGAGGGCTCAGCTTCATCACAGTGAATGATCCTGGTGTTAGGGGAGGACACAAGTCCTGCTCCCTGCTCCCTAACTTGTATTATTTGGCTTTTCTAAAGGAAATCTTAGGGCAGATGATTTACAAGGAAGTAGAAGGAGGATCCCTGGGGAAAGCAAACACTTGAGACTTCAAGGCGGGATGGTTTTGGTGGCACACTTCTGCACTGGCCATCTGATCCAGGAGGTGCCCGCTTCCTCAGCACAGATCAAAGACCAAAGGTGACTTCTGAAATGACATGCAGCCACCTCTTGCATTGCTTAAATTCTCTCCTCCTGCTTCTGTTTGATCTCACTTCGCTTTTCCTGTCACTGGAGGCAGGTGGGTTCTTTATTCTCCCCGACAAGTTTAGATCAGCTGGACAGCTCTGATGGCTGCAGTGAGAATGTCCCAGTGGCACAGCCAGCCCAAACCTTGGAGCAGTCCATGGAGCAGCTCCTCTGCACTGCAGCTGGGTGTGGATGGGGTCTGGATGAGCAGATTTGGAGCTGTCATTGTCCTGCCAGGCTTGCCTTTAAGCAGCAGATGTGGTTGTAATGAGAGGTGACACTCAGGGCATACAGATGGAAGATTTCCATGATCTGCTACAGATCATGAAAGATTTTCACGATGTGCTAAAGATGCACATTTCCTCTTGTTGTCTTGTTACCCTGGGCTCTTAGCTCCATAGTGTGGCCCTGCTGACTGCTGGTGAAAATGTCCAGCACAGAGAAAATCACGAGATGAATGTGACCACAAGTGACAAGTATAAATCAAGTCAATGTCATATTGTAACCAGAGTTACATTAGATCAAGAGACTCCCCAGACTTGGGTCGCTTGCATGCTCTGCTCTGAATTTTTTCTGTTTTTCCTATTTCTCTGTAAAGCTGCTTCACTCCTGTGAGCCTGTCTCTAATTCTGCTTCTTCCAAGGAGAAAGAGAAGCAGGATTTACCTAACAGGCAAACTCTTAACAAAGCCTCGGACACCTGATACACATAATGGTCCCAGAGGCATGTTTACTTTGGACTGAGTGAGTGAGTGAAAACCATTTTGGAAGGACTTTTTCACCTCCAGCAACTTAACCTAACGAGGAGAAAAGTGATGTGGTTAAAGGGCTGTTTAAACAACGGCATTAGGGAGCAGATTTAGGCTCTTTGACAATGCCCATACGTATTTGCCTTACACAGGTGCATAAATATGCCATGATTTATATCACAGGGCACAAGGCATAGGCAGTGATGAGATTTCAGCCATCCTCTGCTGATGGATGATTTTCAGGGGATTATCAGGGACAAACAATTGATTGTTTTAGCAGGTTACAGCAGAATTGCCCAAAGATTTGGAACACCACAACCGAGTTCACCAGCTGCCCTTGTCCTCTGCACAGAGGAGTGTCTGTGCAACAAGGAATTTGGCTTTGAGGGCTCAGTCCTGTAAGTGCTTTAGGTGGCTGGAGGAGAGCAACGGGGGCCTCAGATTTAGGCTGAAGAATGCTGCTTGTTTCTGCTCACAAGAAGTCATAAATGCCCCACCAATTTAACAAGAAAGCAGGAGAGAAGGATGAAATAAATGACTCCATGGGAAATGTGCTCATGCTGGAAAGATGCACTGCCACAAAAGTTCATGTTTTTACACCCAAATGGGTGGCTGACCTCCTGCTGACAGAATGGGCTGTCAACACTCCTCCCTTGAAGAAGAGTCCCCTCTTTGCACTTTGTCTCCTGGTGGTGATAGCCTGAATGGAGATTCCCAGATTAAACCCTGCCTCTTCCACGGGCTGGGGGTCCTGCTTACCCATCACTTCCCTCTTTCAACATCCTCATGGGGGCAATGAATCTTCTTCCTGGCCCAAGGAGCACTTGTCAGGGGCTGGGTTGACAGGGAGGTATGTCCTCCTTGGCCATGTTTTTGTGCATGGAATTGTTAATAGCTGAGGTGGTTCCCCCAGGTCCTGCCAGTGCCCAGAGCAGTGCCTTGCACAAGGGCACTACAGACCTAGAGAGAGCTCTTGTGTTTCACAGGTGAAAAAAGACAGAGAAAATGGTAATTTATGGCCAAACTGAGGTGAAATGTATCTCTGCATCATGTTCTATATGCAACTGCATTCTTACTGGGACCACAAGATTGGCTTTCCAGAGTGGCACGGGTACCTCTGGGTACAGGGGCAATGAGCAGCAGGATGCCAGGAGGGATCTGCACAGGCCAGGTACACAGATCTCATTGTTTTACATCATAGTTGAGATCCCTGACTCTGACTTAAACTCTTCCTATGTGATTTTAAAAGAACTGAGCTCAGCTATCACACATTTGGGCCCACTGGCAAATTCCCCTAAGGTGCTACTCAAACACATGAATGTCTGCCTTTGATTTTCTGGTCCTGGCTGATTTGTACTTTGCTTCTGTGCATGTGTGTAGCACAATGTGGAGGGGCCAAAAGCACCAGCACCCTCTGAATACCTTTCTGGAAGTTTGGAGTTCTTGTTGCCTTGAGAAAGAGGGGCACTGCCATTCAGGTGAATGGTTTAAGCTCCTGACTCTGGGAATCTCCCTGGAGTATTGTGAAAATAAACCAATTCTTTAAGAGTAATTTCCTCCTGCAGGTGTTTGTTTGGTCTTCAGCACTATCTTCTGTCTCAGGGATGTGCAGACAGCTACACAGAGAGCAGCCATGCAGGGCACAGCTTTCTCCATATCTGCATTAGCAAAGAGGAGACAAATAAATTCTCTTGGAGGCAGAGGAAAGTGAGAGCTGCTAGTTTGGCTCCTATCCACTTCTAATTGGGATTATGTTGGCAACTATCAGCCCCATCTTTTGATATTTTGGAGGAAAAAAATGGGAAACTGAAGAGCAATAGTGGGCTGCTCCTGCATAAAGTATTCTGGCAAAATGCCTTTTCATTTCATGTGAGCTGTGCCTGCGAGAAGACGGAAGGATCAAGCTATCATCAAGGAAGATTAGGATTTGGAGCCAAGTTTTGGAAATTGTCTCCTATCTCAGTAATGAATCAGACACCTTAGGTTAAATTAGGATCCTACTGAATAAGCATTTTCTTTTTTTGTGTTTATCAGGGCCAGGATTTCATCCCTAACTTCAAATAATCCCAAACACTGCTGTGCCTGGGCTTGGAGCTGGTTACCAATGTTACATCCTAAAATTGTATTTCATTTATATTGTGCTTGTAGGACCTGATTGTGCTCCCCGTTATGGGGGTTCCAATGCTGAATTCAAGATGATGGGACAGTCCTTTTTTTACTCTGCTGTATTACAGAATAATGATATTTTAAAGGTGATTCTTCTTAATTTTTATTATTTCTGGTAATTCTAGATTGCAGGCTTGGTTTCATTTACATCAGAAATAGGATCCATTTTCTCTGCCCTGGAAGGAAGACACTCTCAAGAGCTTACTGATATTTGTGTGTTTGACTTTAAGGCAGAAGTTTGTTCCTAATTAATTGAATAAGTGCTTTAATCCCTGGCCTGAGGGCTTCCCATAGAGCATTAGCTGTATTAAGAAGGAAATGGAGTGTAATCCCTTTAATATAAGCACAGGAGAACATGAGAGTCTCACATTTCTGGAAATAGTTTCTTTCCTTGTTGTGTTATTTATTCTAATATCAATTTCCATAAAATGCAGTGAGGACAAAGGGCTTCTCCTCTTTGCTGACACCAGTGCAGAGCTGTCAGCAGCACACAACCCTTGCCAGAGCATCCCAGAGCTGTAACAGTGTGCAGAGAGAAGTAACCTGTGGAATTCAGCTCATTCCGATGGTGCCTGTGAGCACAGCTCTGTGACTGGCTCTCTTCCTGGAGCTGAGATCTCATCTCCCTGCCCATCACCAGCATTCACTACTATTTGCATCACTGTAGTGGCAGAGAATCTCGTTTCTGAACCAATGGCTGCACTAGGCTCATGTGCAGCTACAGCAATTGGACTCTTAGGTGAGATTCAGCTCACAAAACATGGGTTTATTTCAGCCCCTGCTATGTACCTGCACTGGTCACACAAATTGTCCTAAATGAGCCAGGAGGTCAGGAAGGATCAGCTCACAGGGAGATGCCCTCCTTGTGTACACACAAAAATTAGGCAAGATCAGTCTTTTGGTGAAATGCATCCAAACTTGGTCAAAGCTTGCTGCTTTTTAAAGGCTAAATACTGCTCTGTGTGTCCAGTGGGGTGTTCCTCTCTATTCATGGGACAGAGAACTCCATTGGAGCATCCCCTGCTGCTTCATCAGAGGAAGAGAATGGCAGCATGAAGGGGACAGTTCAGGTGTCCTCAGCCACCCTCTGAGCCCAAATGGAGATCCCTGCCCACCCTAATTCTGAGTGTTCTCCATCCTTCCATGCAGGGAGGTAAGGATGCTGTTTCCTTCTGCTCAGCACACTCACAAAGTAATGTCATTTTCTCCTCAGTTTCCCCACTTTTTGCTCACCTCTTTAGCAGGATTTGTGGGGGGGAGATTTCAAGAGCTCACAAAGGACAGGCTTTGTCCCTCTCCTGGCCACGTGTCCCCAGCATGGCTGGCTGCAGCTGAAAAAGTGGTAACAGCTCCCTAACATGATTGTTGGGTGCCTTTACCTCCAAAAAACAACATCAATCCCCTCAGGCTCCCCTTCCTCCACTGAGGCCTCCAGGGTTCTGAAGTTCAGGGGTGTCACAATGGAGTTTTCCCTTGACCCTGGAAACACAGTGTTGGATCCCATCAGTGATGTTCCATGCTGCAGGAGGGGTCACACCTGTTCACCCTCTGGGTGATTTTGGGGTTGTTGGTGCTGGGATGCCTCCATCTCATCCCTTCTGAGTTCCAATAGACTGCATCCCCTGAGGTGTCCGTCTCTTTACGCTGGTTGGGTATATTTTACTTTGCTAAGGCTGGCTGAAATCAGTCATACTCTGCTAATCTGAGCATTTCAGCCCCATCTGAATCCCCTTCCTCCTGCCAGTAGCCAGCTTCAGCTCTCCAGTTCCTTTATCCCTTGAGGTGGGTTGGAGGAGAAGACCCAGTCTGCTGGTTTTTAACTGAGTGATTTTTCTGCTCCAGGTTCTTGGTTCACCATGGAGATAATGGATACAAAACCATGGAAGGTGAAGCACACACAGGACTCTCGTCCTCGGGTGTTTCAGTAAGGGTTTGGCTGGGTCTGCTGCTCTGGGAAGATAATAGGAACTGGTGACTGTGGAGTTCTGCATCCTGGCCAAAGGCAAACGCTGGTCTGGGAAGCCCAGAGGGGGAAAAGAGTGAAATGTTAAAAAAAAAAGGACTGAGAATATAAAATACATCCTTGCCCAAGGTGGGTGGCTATTGGCAAAGCACACAAAACCCTCCCTAAGGTGCTGCTGCAGTGTCCCAAATCACAGGGACATGGCAGTGCAGCACCTGCCTGGGCCAGCCAAGCCACCCCTGTGTGGTGGATGTGTTTGTGTCACAGTGGAGACCACAGGGACCCCTGCAATCAGAGCTCACCTCCCCCAGCCCTTGCCTTGCATTGATGAGTTCAGCATAGGAGCAGCTCTGGAGCCAGCCTGAAGGCTCATCTCAGCAGCTTTCCTGGCTCCAGCAGTGCATGCTGAGGGCAAAGCACACAGACAGTGCTCTCTCCCTAAAATCCACCCCCATCTCCCGAAATTTGCACTGCAAGAATTGCTGGTGTTAGTGCAGGTGTCACTGCCTTTATATCTCCTGGTAGAGTTTTCCTCCATAGTTCCTGCAATGGTTTTGCACAATGAGTATTGACATTAGACAGCTCTTTAAAATGTGATAAGCACACAGCAAATGTTACTGAAATGGAAGATGGAAGCATCTGCTGATTTAACCTGAGTGACGCTGGACCTCAGCAGCTGATCAAAGTATTTCGGCAGCTCTGTATTAGCGCTCTGCCTGGGGCCATTTGGGCTCTCAGAAGAGGTTTGGGGAAGGCAGGAGGAAGGAGTTTGTTGCAAGGGAAGTCCTGGGACAAGAAGAGCCCCAGAAACCATTGCCAAAAGAGCGCGGGACCTTCCCAGCCACCCTGCTTGGGGCTTAACTGGGCAAGGAATCGCCCTGTTGGACTGGCCCCGGGTGGCTCAGAAGAGCAGCTCATCCTCTCCTGAGCTATGAGGGAGCATTTTGGGTTTGTATCACCGCGTTTGAAGGCTTCCCCCGAGGCTTAGTGATGCCTTGCGTTCGCTTCCCTCCCTCCCAGCTGCCCGCCGCGCTGGACAAGTACAAGAGCATCTATCGGAAGGACTTCTGCTGGCACGGCGATTATCGCTCACCCATCCAGGCACACCTACCGGTACCGGGCTCTCGTCCTGCCCTGGATGCCCAGCCCAGGCTGCCCGGGGTGGCAGGGTGACAGAGGGGTGGCAGGGCTGGCTGCTGTGGCAGGGCTGGCTGCTGTCTCAGGGCTGGCTGCTGTCTCAGGGCTGGCTGCTGTCTCAGGGCTGCGGTCCCCACGGCTGTGACCCCCCAGCAGCTCCCATCACCCCCAGATGCCCTCGGCTTGTGCCCCCATCCCTCCTGCGGGAAATCCCCCTTGCACCCTCGGGTAAAGCTGTTGGTGGGGAGCGATGCTAATTACGCTCATTAAGGCAGGGCACTAATGACTGCTTGCTGAAGCGGTGCCCGAGCCTTGGGCTGCGCCGGCAGCAGCCGCATCCCGGGAGCGCCTTGCGGAGGGGAATTGCCTTTGGGATGGAGATGGCTCCTTGCCCCCACACGGCCTTGAGAAGGCTTCTGTGGGTCTGTGGGGAAGCTGTTTCTTTATTTCTTTTTTCCCTAATCTCCTTGCAGTGCGAGCGACCCCCTGAGCTATTTAATCTGATTTGCCTCGCTCCGCCTGCCCGGCTTTAATTGCTTGTGGCAGCGCGGTGGGGACACTGCGGAGGGTGGCGGGGGGCACGCTGCAGTGCTTCGGGCTCCTGCCCTCACGGCAGAGCGGGGGAAAAGTTGAGGCTGGGGAGGAAAATGTGGGCGACAACAACAGAGAAATCATTGTGTGAGTGTGCCCACCGAGGGAGAGGGGCTGGCTGCGGGCACCGCTGCCATCCCCGCCCGGCAGCAGCCTGGGGAGCGCTCCCTGCCCCTGTCCCTCGCCCTGTCCCTGTCCCTGTCCCTGTCCCTGTCCCTGTCCCTCTCCCTGTCCCTCTCCCTGTTCCTGTTACTATCCCTCTCCCTGTCCCTGTCCCTCTCCCTGTCCCTCTCCTCTCCATCCTTCATTAGCGCTGCTGCTCGGGGCTCCCGCTGTTCCCTGGGGCTTCCCGGGCAGCTCCACTTCCATGAGTCCGGCTGGCAGGGCAGGGTTTAACCCCTGCAGTTCCCAAGCCGTGCATCGCTGTTTCTTTATTATTCTTTTTTTTCATTTTTTTCTTTATTTATTTCATTTAAATTTTGTTTTTGGAAGGCTGCACACTTCTTGTGGAGGTGCTGGTGTAGCTTGGGAGATAGGAAGGAAGGAAGCTGTGTCTGATTCTCTTGGGTTGCAGCTCCCTTTGGCTCCTTATTAATTCCCAAAACCTGCCAAAGAAAGCTGTCCCAGTGGGCAGTGTGATGATGAGGTACTCGGGAGACCCAGGTCTCCCTCTTGGCCCTGATAGGATTTGTTCTTTTTTAAGAAAGTAAAAAACAGCTGTGATGTTTTTATCTGTGAAATTTTGGGCACTAACCTACTCCCAGGGGGAAGGGGAACCCCTTGGGTTAAGGAAGAAAGCACTGGCTGGTGAGCCATCCCTGCCAGGGTCTCCTGGAGGCTCTTGTCCCTCTGGAGAAGCTCTGGCCATCCTCAGTGGGGGAAGCCCCCAGGCACGGGTAGTTCCTGTAGCTCTGCAGCCTCCACCTGCCCTACTGTCAGCCTGGCAAAGGAAAAACATTAGGGGATTGCCCTGGGAACCCTGGAGTTTGAGGGACAAACAGAGATCCTACACAACAATAGACAAACCCTGTGAGGATGGTTCTTGCTGGCCCAGCAGCCTGGAGTTGCTCACAGCAGGAGAATCCCTTTCTGAGCCCCTAAAAAGCTTCTGGAGCTGCAGTGTGCAGCTGGAGAGGCTGGAGGCAGCAGCCACACCAGGATTCTCTGTAGCCTTTCCCTGACATGAGCCCTGGGGCCATTCCCTCTCCCACTGCTTTTGCCAGGGCTGCCTCCCTCCCTCCTTCCCACTGCCCAAGCAGGGCCCAGCAGGGTCCCAAACTGTAAGATGGGCAGACAGAGGAAGCTGTGGTGGTTCCTGTAGCTCAGTGAGAGCACAGAGCTGCTCTGTGGCCCCTGTGTCCCCAGGGATGCTGACCCCACCCGAGCCCAGGCTTTGCTGTGGGCAGCTGTTGGACGATGCTTTAGCAGCTGCCCTCCCCAGCCACTGCCTCTCCATTCACACGGGGCTTTTTCCTGCAGACACCTTCATACCCTCCTCTGGAAGACCTTCCCAAGTGCTGCCTGCCAGAGTTCCAGCCCTCTGACCTGACCCCGGGGCGGGCAGGGAAACTGGAGATTCTCGCGGAGCCGATGCACGACCTGTGCTGCTGCTCGCCCCTTCCAGCTCCTGCCCTGACAAATGGAACTGAGGGTAACCCCTGAGGGTTCACTGCTGGTGAACTGCCTGTGGCCAGCTGCCCAAGGGACTGTCTGCCTGGGCCTCTGCCAGCCCTCCAGCCCCTGGCCCCTGCTGGCTGGGCACACACAGATGGATGGCAGCATCCTGATGGTGCCTCGGTGCTGGGCTGAGCCTGACACAGCCCTGTCACCACGAATATACAGCTCCCAGGCTATGCCCAAAGCTGGGGTTTTAGAAACATCTTGGTGCATGAAGAGCCACTTCTAGCAAGGCTCTCTAAGGGTTTTATCTTTTACAGCTCTGCTGGGATAGAGGGAGAGGCAGTCAACACCACATTGCAGAAGTGCAGGGAGGGAAAAGGGCTCTGGTTGGGTGTGAGGGGTTTGGGTGGTTCAAAAAACCCTTCTGCTAAGGGTGCCTGTCTGACAGCAAATGTGCTGGCAGCCAGCCCTCAGCCACACCATTTAACAGCTTGCTTGCATGGATTAAAATACTCGTGGAAGTCAGGAAAATAAAAGGAATGGTCACCAAGCATCATTCTGACATGCCCAGCCATCCCAAAGCAAAGAACAAAGATTTTTTTCCAAGTTCCTGCTTGAGAGGGAAGAGGGTGTCGTGTCTCAGCAGTGCTCCAGAAGCAAGCAGGAGACATGGCCAGGGATGTCCTCTCTGTTCCCTGAGCTGATCTCTCCCAGTGTGGGATGCCTGTGTCTGGATCCTTTAGTGATCAGAGGGGAGCAAAGACACAGACATCTCCTGTAGGTTAAATGCCACCCTGACAATGAGGTGCAGTAAGCCCTGGTGGGATTTCCCTCTCCACTCAATAGAAGGAGAGTCTGGACAAGCAGCTCAGACAGATGTGTGTCCATATGGACTCCACTTACATCTGAGGGCTGCAAAGACCACCTTGCCAAGCCCATCTGAAGCTGTCTTGTGCTAAAACTCCCGTGGGCTTTTCCCTTCCTGCTCTGCCCTGTGTATCCCAGCAGTGCACTCACACACAGACCTGCTGCAGAGGGTCTCCTTTTAGCACTCCAGGGCAATGTGGAGACAGTGGGCTCCTTCCCCTTGCTTTGCACCATGATAAATCCTTCCCTGACTTGAGCCATGAACCATTAAAATTGATGCCCCTCAGCAAAGCTGATGCACCTTCAGCTGCAAAGCTCTGCTGAAGCATCTGGGGCTGCCCTGATTTTTGCCAGCTGGGACTCCAGCTTATCCTATCCAAAGGGTAGGATTTGGGTGAGTAATTGATGGTGATTCCTGAGTAATTCACTTTCCTGTCCTCCCATGTCTCAGAGGCACTGGTGCCAACAGAGCTGCCACCTCCTAAGTTGATCACCTACCAGCAGTTTGCCCAGGATTTGTACAATGAAGTGCTGCTCAATGCTGATAAATATAAAACCAAGAACCAGAACTCATCTGTTTTATTGCAAGGTCAGTGGATGGAGGCTGTGGAAGCTGCCCCATGAGAATAAATGGTGGCCTTCAGCCTGGTTTTATGTTTTTAAATATAATTCCAGAAGAGACTGAGGAGGGTGAAGGGAAAATGAGTGACACAGGAAGGGTTCACAGATCCCCTGTAACCATCTGCCCATCGGTGGGGAGAAAGCAGGGCAGAGAAAAAGAGTTATCTTCTAGAAGAGGTTGGAGTGTTGTAAATAGTGTTTCTTTCACCCCAATTTCCAGACTGCCCATCCCATGGACCACAGCCCTGCTTGATGTGGTCTCCCTGGAAATAATGTCAGGAGGCAGGAGCTGCTGCTGGGTTGCATTAACAGCCTGGCATGCTGTTAATGCACGTGTGAGACACCTGTAACCTCAGCCGTCGGTGGAAAGCCAACAAAAAATCCTCTACTAATTACTCACTGTAACGGAATCTGTTACTTTAAAAATGCCCAGAAAATCTTGTCTACATGGGCAGCTCTTCTTTTGTGTGTCCTCCCTGCAATGTTTATCCCCAGTTAGATCTGTGATCTTCACACACAGATAAGACATCTCTGGAGAGTCAGATTGGGAGATGGTACCTCTTCAAACCAGCTCCCACAGGGATTTTTGGGGAAGATATTACAGCAGATGTGATGGTCCTCAATTAAGGGTTAAGTGAGCCATGAATCTCTTCCTTGGTTTAGTCCCTGATGGGTGGCAGGATGGAAAAGAAAATATAAAGTATGGGAAAATTTATACCAGGTGACAAGACAGGAAGATCACAAGATGTCATTTCCAGGTCTGCCTTGTGTGGCTTCCCTCACACAGGCTGTAGAAAATAAGGGCTGAATAATCTCATCTAAACAACCTTGTCTACACCAGGGAATCAATTCCTCCATTTTCCCTTGGTTAATCCCTTCATCGTGGTAATTCCAACAGGAGAGCTGGGAGCACAAACAGCCAGTGGAGCTCAGGGGAAGGGGGAACACTCAGACTGTGCAATATAGGAGACAGAGGTCCAAAAAAAGTATTTTAATTATTTGGACTCTCTTTCACTAGACGACTCTGACCTTGAGTGGAAAAGTATCTACATGCAAGATTTCGAGCCGCAGAGAGGAATCTGTGCAGGATTGTACACAGAGGAGATAAGGCCTTCTCCTGTTTTCCCTGAGGATAACCGCTACAACGAGTGAGTAAGAGAGCAGTGGGATGGGGAGGAGGGGGTGGCTGCTGGGAGTGGGGAACACGCTAGGAGTAAGTCAGAGAGGTTTTGGAGCTTCTTGGAATTGGAAGGTGTTTCTCAGGCATATTTCTCCTTGTCCATGTTATGCAATGAGCCCGAGGAAATTCCCTCGAGGACAAATCCGCTCCTAAAGCCTGATCAGCCTTTTATTGAAAAGTTTTGCGGTGGGGTTCATAGGAGTGGGGGGACAACTCCTGAGACAGCCTAATCCCTGCAGAAAGAAGATCCCCATGGGGCTGGGGCAGGAGGCATGTCTCATCCTTTCCATGCCCAGGCTTCCCCTGGGAAAGGGCTCTCTCAAATCAATCAGGGCAGGAGCTGTTTGCAACGTGACTCATCTGCACACTATGAACCAAACAGGCATAAACTGCTCCTGAGCTCTCATTTCTCACTGGAAAGGCAATTCCTCCCTGCTGCCTCATGCCCCTGACCTTCCCTGAACACAGATATGTATTTCAGCTCTGCATTGCAGATTTTAATCTGTGATCCTGGACTTATATGTGGGGTGGAGACTGCGCCTGTGTAATGGTTGGTCCAGGTGGGAGATGGACCCTGATGGCAGCTGTGTGTGCCACAGCATCTGCCCCGTTCCTGGGTGACACAGGCTGTTCCCCTTCTCCCCATCCTGTGGGTATTCTCAGTTCAGTCAGAGAGAAAACGAAGGTTTCTAACCAGGCAGAAGCCTGGGAAACTGTTGGAAAAGAATGTAAATAATTCTTTATCTCTCTTGTTCACATTGTTTATAGTTAAGTCATTCATTGCACACCAATGGTGTGAGATGTTTTTATCAGGACCAATAGAATTGGTCTGCACGATACTCTCTATAAAAGAGAGATGTATTTGAAATAAATCAGAGTTCTACTCTCTCGCCTTCTGATCTGGAGTCATTTCATACCGTCCTGCCTCAGTGGCATCATCACCCCACTGAACGTGCTTTTGTTTGCTCCTCACAGGTTTCTGGCTGGCTGGTTGAGCACCACAGAAGGGGAGGCAGGTCCCTTGTCCCAGTGCACGAAGCGCAGGGTGGAGGTCCCCTCCTTATGCCCTTCTCCACGTTCTCTGCAGGAGCCGCTGGGTTTCTGAGTATGCAGACAGCTACAGCATCTTCCTGAAGAAGCTGGACTGGTCCTCCCCCATCTCTGCACAGTGGCTGCCCTTTGGGAAGGACGTGCGATGGACGCCGCGATGGAAATTGGTCGGTAACTGAGCACTGACAAGGCGACTGAGGTAAGCACCAGGATCCCCCATTTTGGCCCTGGGCTGGGATTTCAGGGACTGAGGCAGTGGGAAAAACTATGAACAGTAGTGAGACCTGGCACAAACTACCATGAGGCCTGAGAGTTTGGCTGCTGGAATGTTCTTCAGAGTAGCAGCATTTGTCCCAGCTCGGTGCAGGAGGGTTGGGTGAGATGACCTTCAAATGTCCCTTCCAACCAAAACCATTCTATGATCTTCTGGGCTCCTAGAAAGTGATTTTCCAACCAGATCTAATTTGGAGAATATTTTTCACTGTGAGGGTGGTCAGACACTGTCTGGAGATTGGAGAGGTGGGGGAGTGCCATGGAGATGTCCACTGGGTGACAACGCTGGGTCTGAGGAGCCTCTTCTAGGCTGGCCCTGTTGGGCCAGGATACCTACATTATTCCACATTTTTTCTGATTTCTTTTAGAATGTGTTAATGTTATTCTGTGATTACAGCTCTTTGGCCCTCCAAGCTGCCTGTGTGATATTGCTCATCAGAAACCCTGAAAGCCTTGGAAACCTCCAAACCCACCACCATGTCTGTCAGATGTGAAATGTTTGGCAAAGACATCTTTAAGTGCAGATTATGATTAAAATCTCCCAAGAACCTCAGCTTTTATCATTGTCAGAAAATGTTTGGGTTTTTTTTTTTTTTTTGTTTTTGAGGGTGGCAATGGAGGTTACAGAGCTAAAATCCCTCGGGCAGTTTCTATTTATGTACCTTAAAGAAAACTTGATGCTAAAACTTTGACTCTCAGCAAGAAGTAGTGTGTGTTAAACAGCGTTGTTGGTGTTAATTTACTCTGTAAATCCCTGTACACTTACAGGGAGGGAAATATCCGTGTTATCCATGGCAGCTGAGTACCAGCCTTGCAGAGCTTCTTCCCCTCCTTTACATTCAACGACTTATTCCAGGTTTTGACCATCAATTTCAGCTGATGCTGGGCAAACGGGAATTGAGTTTGCCGTGTCCGTTCGGGGTTTTTAGGTTTCTGGAAGGCTCAAGGCTGCTCCCAGCCTGAAGATGGCAATGGAGAGCCGCCGAACCCAGACCTGGAAAGGGCTGACAGCCCTTCTGCTGTGGCTTTAGTGATCCCAACGGGTCTCCTAAACTGATGCCAAAATTATCCCAGAGTGAGTGGTGTAGAGAAACCTCTCCCTGACTCCTAAAAGGTATTCCTTTAAAACGGCATCCTTGCAGTATTGAGGGATAAGCAAGAAATTTTTAACAGATACAGCTAAAATGTCAAAAATAATGAAAGCAAATAACTTATTTTGTTCTTAACAGTAATATCAGCTATCCTCAGACCTGTTGGTGACAGCACCTGTGTAGACACAGCAGCGCACTGGTCCCTGCCCCAAAAAGTTCATCATCCAATCTCTGCAAATGATGGATGATGAAGCTCTGCTAAATGATGACATAATTTAGCAAAATGATGTGTGGCAGGGCCAAGCTCCGAGCAGAGGATACAGGGAAGCAGAATGGGCCAGTGTTTCTCAAAGCTGCCCTGGTGTGGGGCAGTGCTGGCCACAGCTCGTGCTGCATTTGGGATTTCCACTGTAGCTGAGTGCAGTGGACTGGGGGCAACGTCGGAGGACAGAAACAATGAAACTGCCTTTAACTTAGAAAATACGGAAACATATTTACTTAGATCAGAGGGGAGACAGAGTTTGACTTCATTGAGGAAAATGAGGCTGTGAGAATTGAGAATGTGTGATTTTACACCACTTAAAATTAACCCTGTGGCCTTACTGATAACTTTCTCTTATTAAAAAAACTTCATTTTCTTGCCTCCCTATGCTGGAGTTGGGCTCCCCAAACTCATTCCCACTCTGCTCTGCTGTGTTTTGCTGCACAGATGAGGGCCGTGTCTAGATAAGTTCTCAGAACACATATACAAGGTAATATCACTAGCAAAAAGCATATTGCAAAATTTTAATCACAATCATGGTGGAAAAAAACAAAAAGGCTGGATAAGAATCCTGGGTTTGTGCTAGGTGCTGTCAGGAGCACTAATGAGGATATTCAATCAGGCAGATGGATGCTGGGTTTGCTAGAGGGGTCCTCAAGTTTGTGCCAGGGAGAAGGAAGGCAGCTGCTGATGTTGGAAATAAATGCCCTTCCTGGTTTTTCTGGCAGCATCCCTGCTCAGGTTTGGACACCAGGCTTAGAGATGCAGCTTTTGCAAGTTCAGCCCCAACAAAGAATCCAGCCTGTTGCATCCTCATCTCCTGCCATTCCTCTTTCCAAAATTTTCTTTCAGACTCTTGTTTCTCCAGCCCTCATTGCCCCTTGCAAACACAGGTCTGTGTGACGTGGCAGTGATTGCTGTTAGTGCTTTTTCCCCCATCCCAGCTCCCTGGGAATGGAAATGGTGATGGTCCCAAGCTGGTTCAAACACACCAAAAGCTCTCACACCTCCCCAGGAGTCACTGCTGCTCTCGGGGGACATTCAGGCTGCGTGCAAATATATCCAGATGGCTGAAGGGAGCAGACACAGAATCAGGTTTTCAAATTTCATTTTCAAATTGCATCCAAGGCTTTTCAGTGGATGGATCTTGTCCATGTGAGTGACACAGGGTTCACACTGAAGAGCACTGGGGTCAAAAAGAGGTGAGAAGCTCTAGATAATACTGGCTTTACCTGAACACCATCCATTTCCAGTCCATTTTCTGCAGCACCAAGATGACACCAGCCATGAGCTCAACAGGGTTCAAAAGGGATGCAATCAGGTTGTGCAGAACCAACAAAGCCCAAGAGAAAACCCCTGGAACAACACAGAGAAACAAGCTGGGCACGAGTCAGGAGGTGGCTGGTGGATATTAGGAGATGTTTTCCAGGATCTTGTTGCCTCATTACTGCTCTGGTTGAGCCACAGGCATATTTCTTCAGAGTATTTGGTGCTTCCTGTGTCCCAAACAGAGGAACATCACTGGATGGAGGCTGCTGTGATCTGGGGACAGCTCACTGGAGCCATGAGAAGGACAACCAGAAACATGTTCTCCCTCAGGACACTCAGTTGGTCCCATCACAAGAAGCACAACCCAGTGAATGTAAAATTTGCAGCTTTCCCCCACAACGCACAGCTTCAGAAAAAACAGGTTTTTAGTAAGGCTGAAGTGATGCTTTTTACCTGAATGCCTTAGTGCCATCTCCTGGGTAGAAGGAGAAATTCTCATTTTGGAAGTGGAACTGAACTCCCTTGGCTGTTCAGCCATTAGAATCCCAGTTGGCATCAGGATCCCAGACTGCCTGGTCCTGCTGAGCTGATAAGGAATTGTCTTCCTTGGGATTCATCATGGAGATGTCTGTTCAGGGAAAAGGATGCTCTGGGTTCATCCCTCATCTTCATCACGAATACTGAAGTAGCATTTTCCATCTTTAATTTTGTCTTTTCTATCTCCCAGCATGGAAGAACTGACTGAACTCTAAATTTACACCATGTGTCCTTTATGGAAAAATTAATTCAAAATTATCATGGGTGAATCCATTAATGACTTTCTCTACTTTCAGTCTTTCTAGAACTCTCCACAAATTATCTCATTGTACATCAGAGGTGCAAAACACCCTTATTGAGTGGCTAAATGAATTTCACAGTGCTGAAAGACAGGCTAAAATATGTCTGTGGTAATTCTGGCCACCACTACAGAGGATCTACTTCACCAAGGAATAATTGAACCCTCAAATGTGTTTGATGCTGCCTGCACCTTGCATGGGAACAGGCAGAAATCCCACAACAGCTTCCTTGGAAGAGCCTGCTTGGGAAGAACTGGTGATTTGTGTCGTAACAGGCACAAATTTTCAGAGGTGTTTTTAAAAATGTAATTAGAGGATTAATTTAGCCCAGCAGGACAAAACATTGGGGTTTCAGTGGCCTGATGGGACATTTATTAAAGGGAAGCACCTGCAGTAAATGCTCGGTCACCTTCCCTGCTCTGCAAACAGCACTGCCTGTGGATGCCACCACATCACCGAAGGCTGCAAAGGCATCCAAGGGCTGATCCTCAGCCCCATCACTGAATCAATTTTCCTCCTGTTTTGGACAAAACTCTTCACCCAACTCACAATTGTGCAATAAGTCATTCAGCATATGCTTCATGTTAGCAGAGAAGGAGTTAATGATGCAAATCCACATCTGCTGCAGCCAGGCCAGCCCTGCCATGGCTCAGCCACCAGCCTGAGCAGAAGTTGTGAGCAAAGAATTTGCCAAGCAACACGTTCTGCTAAACTGAATTTTGTCAAGGGATGGTGGTCAACCCTTTTTGAGTGGTACAGTTTTAATGGCACTTTGCTGGGCAAATGATGGAGTTCAAAAGAGAAACAGAAAAAAAGTGTGGAAGGTTTACTGGGATGGCTTGGCAGTCCAGAACAAAGGCAAGTGCTGGCCACTCCTCCTAACCCCTAAAAGCAGGTATTTTGCTTTCCAACCAGACTCAGCTGGCCTATGCCTGTTTCCATACCATTTCTATGCTATTTGTGGCTGCTCAGGTGCTGTTAGTGCTTGGAACAGTCTGCTGGGCTTGAATTTGGGACACAACCTTCACAGAAGCTCATAAACCACTAAAAGTGGTTTTATTTGAGCTTGCTTAGATGAAGAAGGTTTCTTTGGTTTGGTAAAAAGCTATATGAATCATCAATAGAAAGTGGAAGGGGATGCATTGCTGGATGGGATGACTCCATTTATGGTGTGCAGGTCTGTCTGATGCTGCTACAAGATAAAAGTGAGTTTACAGCTATAAATGACTGCAGCTATAAATGACTGCACGATGATGACAAGAGGTCTGCATGCACCTGCCTGGCCTGTGCTCAGCTCAAGGTGGGTTCCAAGTGCTTTGCCTCAGATCTCCTCCTTTGGAAGGAGCCACACTCCTGCTGCCAGGAGCCAAGGAATGGCCTGAAGCTGTGCCAGGGGAGGTTTGTGCTGGGTGTCAGGAAAAGGTTCTTCCCCCAGAGGGTGGCTGGGCACTGAACAGGCTCCCCAGGGCAGTGGGCACAGCACCAGCCTGGCAGAGCTCAGGGGGTGTTTGGACAAAGCTCTCGGGCACAGGGTGACTCCTGGGGACGGTGCTGTGCAGGGCCAGCAGCTGGATTTGATGATTCTTCTGGGTCCCTCCCAACTCAGTTTATTCTGTGATTCTGTGGTCAGCTTGAAAGCTGCTTGAAGGATTTGCCCTCCATCAAATATAAACCCTGCTGGTAAAACTGTTAGAATTTTCCACCAATTCTGTAATATGCTTTGATTTTGCCCATATTTTTCAGTTCTCCTTCCACGAGTTCAAAACAAAATGTTTCAACCCAGGGTCATGCAGACCCACATATTTTACTTTCTTCCTTCATCTCCTTGGTCACTGGACCTTGAAAAAAAAAGGGTTTGGGTGGCCTGAGTCTTTCCTCTACCTTGCAGGTCATTCTTGGTGCAGTGGGCACATCTCAGGTGTTCTGGATCGTGTGGCTTTGGTAAACCTGAGCATTGCTGCTCTCCCTGTGAACAGTGGTGATATCCAGCCAGGCCTATCCCCCTTAGGGGAGCACTCTCATGGAATAAGCCTGTAAAATATTTCCCTCTTAAAAAAACCCCAAACATTTTAAATGGAAACATGCTGTATATTTA